CACACCACTGAATGACAAAAGCCAGAAAATTTTCAGCAAAGCCAAAGCCATGCAGACAGCAGCAAAGCCACGCGGACAGACAGCATCGAAGTTCCAAAGTCTCTTGTCGCCCATACCACTGAATGACAAAAGCCACCACCACTGCATCACAACAGACCAAACTGCCCCTCAAGCTCACAGAAATCACGGTATAACCTGCCCATTTTCACTGTAGCAACTCTAACTCGCACCTTTAGTATAGTAAAGATTACGGATTACCCCAGATTCCTTTTTCCACTCTTCTTCTGAAGGTACAAAGTACAAACTAATGATCCATACTGGCCATGTGCGTGATACAAGTTTTCCATATGTAACACCGCATGTTTATGATAGTTAAAGCTTATAAAGACTATGCATGCCATGGATGTAGAAATTCAAAAGAGGTTGACAATATATATATATATATACACACACATATATCTATAGTACGTATATTCATAATATACATGTAAAAATTGAATTTTAAATTTAACTTTTATTTATATAGTTATCATTTATCAAATACTAATAATGTAGATATTATCAAGAGGGCAAATCGCGAAAAATGTCATTAAACTATACACTAGTGCTTATTCAATTCACTAAACTAATGTGTTAGTCAAAAATGTCATTGAACTAACCAAAATACATACTCCCTCCCTTTTTTTATAACTGACGTTTAAGAAATTTGCTCTAGTGTACTTTTATCTGTCGTTTTATTATCCCCATACAGTATTAATTATTTTTTCACAATTTTACCTTTTTATCTCTCTTTTCCAATACAGGGTTCTTAATTACTACTCTAGTTTGGTGGGAGTTAGTTTGCATTGCTTTTGGCCTAGTAAAATAGCACCATTTAGCACTCTAGTGAGAGAAAACATGGGTAAATTGGATAATTAATGAGGGTACAAAAGGAAAGTAGTGTACAGATTTAAGTAATGAAAATTTTTTCTTAATTGATGTGCAAAACCTTAAACGTCAGTTATAAAAAAAGGAAGGGAGTATTTTGTAGCATTCCGTGTAATTGAATTGTTAAGACAAACGGAATTGTTATCACGTGACTTCAAGGTTTAGTTTTTTAGGGGCAAAATCGTTGATTTAACTCTTTGGCTGAAATTTATGTTCATAAATGACTTCCCGAATAATTAACCCTAGCATTGGAGCGCCGTGGGATTGGTCGGGTGTAGACCGGATACCCACAGTGATAACAAAAAAAAAAAGGAATAATTAACCCTAGCATATCCACTTCGATTTTGCTCTCAGAGCCCTTGGCCACATTAGCAGAGCTATTACAGATATAAATTCGACAATTGCAGCCACCAACAAAGCTGCTGCAGAGGTAAATTCAACAATGGCGACTGCAAGGATTGTGAAAGGCGTCTCTCCTCACAACTTTGTCAAGGCTTATGCTGCCCATCTTAGGCGATTTTTCCATGGCTAGAAAATTTTATTTGAGGTAAGGCTTTGGAGTTGGTGCTTTCGGGAGGATTTATGGAGGGAGCAAGTGGAATGCAAAGCTGTCTGCCTCGTTTTGGTAAAAGTAGTGGGAGTATTGCTTGTCACATTCTTCAACAACTGCATAAGATGTATATTATGTTGATATAGACCCAAAAGGTGGAAGAAGAATCACATCCAGTGGACAAAGAGATCTTGACCAAGAAGAATCACATCCAGTGGATCCCATCCAAAGTCATTGGATTCTCTGATAGAACCAAAATTGCCTGAAGTTTTTTCTACAAAAGTTATTGGCTACATATTTGGCCCAGGAGCAAGAGAAAATATACAAAGAGCATAGGTTGATTTATCTTCATATGCCATCAACAAGTTGTTCAAACCTTCATCTCCAATCTTCTGGAAAAACCACTTGATATGAGGCCTTGGAAGACCCTTAAGGTCACCGGTCCATTCATCTCTTTGGTAGCAATTTTAGCCTTTTATTTGGAGATATCCAGAGACTCACCTTGTAGCTCCGACAAATCAAGTTTCAGTGATTGAAAAGGGATCGGCTTGTCGAGAATAGCACGAACTTCCTTGAGTTTCTTGGCATTTCTAGCGATAAAAGTCACTGGCCGAGACAACACCGATCCCTTCACAACACCGATCCCTTCACTATAGCCATTGCTGCAAACTTTTTCTTGTGGTTCCACGTGTATTTTTTTCCTGTTATGTGTTTTTTGTGATTCTAGAGTGAAGCAACCACCTACTGTGGTTTATTTAGCGTTCTTAAAATTTTTGGACAATTTTGCCCTTCAAATCTTAAGCGTCACATGACACGAAATGATAGGAAATGCATTTTGATTAGTTCAGTGATATTTTGGGTTAAGAAAATAGTTTAGCACCCTGCACCGGCACAAGCATATAGTTTAGTGACATTTGGCGCAATTTACTTTATTATCAATGTAAAAAAAAAAATTAATCATACACACACACACACATATATATATATATAATAGTAATATATATATATATAATAGTAATAGCTAAAAGAGTGTGTGCATATATATAAGAGTTCGAGAGAGGTTCATGAATAGCAACAGTATTTATTGCATGAGCAACAATTAGTGCTATCACACTAGTATGTAAAATTGACAAAAGAAGCGAGTCTTATGTATCAATTCGAGTTAATTATGTATCAACAAAAGTTAGCGGATTGGTCAAGAAAAAATACTTTTGTTCAATTGGAGGATTTTTCTATGACAAAAGTATCAATTTTAATTGGATTATAAGATTAACTTTCAATCTCCGATTAAAAAAAAAGCTAAAGAATCTTAAAATATTTGGAAATGGAATAAATAAGAAGAAAGAGTTGAAATCAAGTAATGAGTGAAAAAAAAGTGTCTCTATTGGAAATTGCATTGTAATTCTCTTGTTATGTTAAAAGTTACAAATCAATTACCAAACAACTTTTGTTTCGCTGGCAAGTTTTTTGTCAAGTTTGTCTGTTACAAGTTTTTTTAAAAATTTGTAGTTACAGTAATTTCAAAAAAATTTTCAAAATTTTTAAACTATACACTTCAAAATTTTAAAAAATTTACATACTTTAAAAATTTTTTAAAAACTTTTACAGTAAGTTACAGTAAAATTTTAGACAAACACTCAAAAAATTCACTTGTCAAACGGGGCATATATGTATTTTAAACTTTTAAATGTATGTGACTCTGTGTTATGTACATGAGCACATACAGTACAGGGGAGGAAAGTTCAATATTAGAAAATCTAAAAGGTGCATGTGAATATTTTAGAAATTTGGGAGGATGACGTTGAAATTATCATCCCCACGAACAAACGGTAGAAGTCAGCAAGACTTGACGAAGAAGGTCAGTGCTCGAATGACGAGTATCCCCAAATACTACTACTGTAACCGGGCATAACTTTGTAACACCAATCAGTTCTGTTATCCAATTTTTTTGGAAAAAGACGAAAAAGGAAAGAATCAACAGATCTCCGATCCATGGCGAAGGACTTCAACGTGCCACCGGTAGTATTTCCCTCCGGGGGAAACCCCGGTGCTGGGATAGGCCCCGGCCCCCAGCAACGTCGTCCATCGGCTCCGTTTCAGCCTCCGAGATCTGCAAACCCTAATATCCCTTTCATGTCTTTCGACGTGTCCTCTGCCCCGTCTTCCACTGCCTTCTCTACCCCTCAATTCGCCCCCACCACCATCGGAGGCGGTGGAACGGGATTCGAAGACGAGGCACCTCTCCTTGAAGAACTCGGCATCAACACTAAACAAATTTATCAAAAAACCATCTCAATCCTCAATCCTTTCCGGGTAAGAGCCGATCTCCACGACGACGCGGATCTCTCCGGTCCGTTTTTGTTCCTTATGGCGTTCGGGCTATTTCAGTTGCTAGCTGGAAAGCTCCACTTCGGGATCATATTGGGGTGGGTTACAGTGGCGGCTTTGTTTCTTTACGTGGTGTTCAATATGCTCGCTGGGCGAAACGGGAATCTGGATTTGTACAGGTGTCTTAGCCTGATTGGATATTGTATGTTGCCGATTGTGATTTCATCGGCAATTTCACTGTTTGTGCCCCAGGGCGGGATGTTGATTATGGTAATATCTGGGTTTTTTGTTATATGGTCGACCAGGGTTTGCACTAGGTTGCTGGTGGAGCTGGCTTCTTACGGGGACGAGCATCGGGGATTGATTGCGTACGCTTGTTTCTTGATTTACGCTCTATTTTCTCTGCTGGTGATGTTTTGAAGTGCTCAAATGAATTGTAACTCAGATGGAGTGTTTAGTGTTACTTATAGATTAGTTTTTTGTGACTGATTGGTTACCATTTAGGTACGGGAGTATTTTTGGTTGCTTTATGTTTTTAGAAACCTGAGTTCTTTGCATAAAGAGGGTAGAGTGGTGAATAGAGTAGTGGATGGTTGATATGAAGTGTTAAGGGCACTGTTCTTTTCTGTTGGAAATATTATAGAATGCTGCGCTTTTAGAAGTGTTTCTTCAGATTCCTGATCTTTTGTTCCAAATGTACCTATTTCTAGTTATAATTTGGTGATTCTGATGTGATAATGGATACTTGACATGGATGCTCATAGCTTGCGGGGCTTAATGATTTTCAAAGGACGATGGATTATAGTCAGTGATTATGTTTCTTTTTGTTCCCTCAGATATTGTCTAACCTAGGTATATGCTTATAAAGCTGTATATTTCAGTTCTATGGATGCTTCAATTAAAGATTGGTTATCGTGATGGTGATCAGTACCAGCGAGAAGAAGAAAGGAAAAGGAAGTGGCTTTGATGAATATAGTATGCATTTGACAACACACCACTGGTTCTGCTTCTCTTTTCTTCTTTAAAATAATCAGCCATTTTAAGTGTTGAACTTTGATTAGATAAATAAAATGCTGAGAACTTATTCATTACTGATGCTTAGCCATTGTTCCTTTCTTTATGGGTTTTCTTTCCTTTTCATCATTCCCATTTTTATTTTCCAAAGTAACAGTTGACTGCTGTACTCTCTTGAAAACTAGAAATACTAAGAGGGAGTTTTGGCATGCTTGGAAGAATGCATAAAAACGTCTAAGTGAATTTGTTTTATTTATTTTCTTTAAGATAGTTTCAATTTTTGTCTGGCGCTGGACAAAGCTATTATCATGATGTTCTTTTCTTCACTATTTAGGTAGACCTTGGTTGTTTACTGAATGGACAGATATTACACTGAATAGACAGTAGTTCTATTGTCTAGAGTAAATGCAATTCTCTTCTTCTGCTGGGAAATGCTATTGTTTAGTTGTTCTTTGAAGTCGTATATTTTGGGAATCTCTGTTCAATCTGAGTAGACAGTTTCCACCGTCATCCTTTTGGAAAAAAAAAATTGGGATTGTGGCTAATGGATGAAGAAGTTTTCTAGGATTAGATGCCTCAAAAGGAGAAGAAATAATTTGCCACACCCCTGCTTCTCATGCTCTTTTTTTCCAATTACTATCTGCATGTATGTATGTTGCTTCAAATGCTTGATGGTTAAGGACTATTCTAGGAAATGTCTGATGAACAACCTAAGTTGCTTTCGTGGGACTTTCTTGTTTTTGAATTTTGGCTCTCTGAATTTTTTGACCGGAAGTTTGCTTTTATGTTTCTCAGTCACGTCTGGTGCTAAATTTTAAGGCGTAAATCTTCTGTCTCCTGTTCTGTATCAGATTGTGGTGTAGATTTCTGTCTAGATATTACAGGATTAGTATCAGTAATAGAGTGATGGTTATGCCTTGCTTCCTGCTTGCACATCCTTGGTACGTTTAATGTTTAGGTTTGCCTTTCTTTTATTGGATGGAAATATCTTAATGTGCCAATCTTCATGAGTTATCTTCCAGGTTGACAAATGTTGATAGTTTAGTTGGATTTCTAAGAAAAACTATATGGCCATAAGATTAGCGTAGTGTGAAGAAACATCAGCATTCTTGGTTTCCTCTCCTTCACTTTTGAAACAAGTACTTGGGGTTTTTTAGATATGCTTTGCTGTATAAAGTACTGGGAGGATATTCAGAAACAGTTTAAGGTCATATACAAAGAGTTCTTATATTTGCACCTTGGAGTTGATCTTTGACAGTTAGGAACTTTAAGCATTTCACTCTCGAGTTACTGCAAGGAGGTTGTCATAAGTAACACGATTAAAAAGTTTTCAGTGAGGAAATAATTACCCTGAGTGATATGCTTCTCCCTCCATCTACTTTGTTACTTCTTTTCCATCTAATTTGAGTTAGAACGGCCGCTACCTACGTATTCATAAACTAGCGCTCTTAATTCCTGTGGTCTCTATCTTTACTTCTTGAGTGCCAAACTAGTGACTTCTGTATGCTTTGCATCTGAAGTTGTGGAGTTGCATAACACGTGGGTTTCATCTTTTCTGTCCTGAGTGTAACGAATGCTCTTATTTTCATGCTTTGACATGCGGGCATGTTGTAATGGTGTTGCATGTATTATGAATCGTACTGTTAATCTTTTGCTTTGACAGGTGCACAAATTGTGTTGGTGTTGCACCTATTCTGGGTGGATTCGGTTTATCTCTAATTTTAATTTATCCTTTGGTGCTTAAATTCTTTTTGCTGGTGTGGGTTTGGTACTCTTTTCAAGGCAGAGGAACTTGATTCTTTCTCTAAAAGTAAGAGATTTTTTTTTCCCTTCTCCAGTTCTCCTCTGGGTTTGTTCACCTGGATTTACGTTGGCAATGGGATCTTCTGCTGAGTTCTATTATTAGTTACATAATGACGGATACAAGTGGAAAACTTCATAGCTGGGTGGGTCGGACCGTATCATATGCATATGCATATGCATATGCTGGCGAGGTCATACTGAAGCAAATTTCCGCGTTACAGCTATTTATGCGTGTTGTATTTCGCGGAAACTCCTGGTTATAGTTTCTGAAAGGCGATGTCTAATTTGCTCAGGGGTACTCCTTTTAGACCAATGCCGTCACCCCAAGTGATGTCTCAACACTTAAAATGGTTTTGTGTTATGCATGCCATCAAAGTGGCTATTTTTTTTTTTTTTTTTTTTTTTTTGGTTTGGAAATTTGTCTTTCCGCAGAGTTGCAAGTGTTGGGAGAGGAGAAGAGGAGAAGAAAATAAGTCTCACCCACAAGTAAACCCAAAGATATTTCTCTTCTCCCCCGGCCTGCTGCAACCTCCTCCTGTCAACTCAAAGTAAGACTTAGGTATTAAGTGGCTGTTCAAGACCTTTTCAAAATCGCACCACCGAGCGAGCTAGCCTAGAGCTAGTTGTGACGATTCATAAGGCATAAAGCAAGATCACATACTCCGTCTCCTGTGAAAGGAAAAAATGGTTTCCAATTCCAAACATATAAATAGATAGCAGAATGTGAAAAATTGCCATCATGTTTTGGTCCGAAGTCATTTTCATCCTAAAGTCATTTTCTACAAAACTTGCTTGGTCCAAAGTTAATTTTCCTTTCGATAAGATGATTGCAAAGGGGGACTCGCTGGATGCTCTAGTCCAATGTCATTTTTTTTCATCCTAAAGGCTAAAGTCAATTGAAAATAGGTCTTGCTTGGTCCAACTCTGTGTTTAGTGGTTGAGGACGGACCCGACTCTGCTCGACTGAGCCTGCTTGGATAGCAATCGGGTGGGTCGGGATAATCTCGCTCACATACGCAACCAAAAAGAATACTGGCTGTCGCGCTGTCGGAACCACTGACACCAAGGTCCGCCGTTTCTTCTTATACTCTCCCTCTAAATTCCATTTCACCTGAAATTGCTGTGCCGTTGTTTGCGTTCAATCGTGATGGCGGGAACTCTTCAAACCCTAAGCCTCAAATCGCCGGCCATCTCGTCTCCGCCTGGCCGTCGTCGGCGCGTGCAATCCCCTATTACTTCCGTCTCACCCTCTGGCAGCCGGAGTTTAAGTGGGGGTGGCAATTCGTGTGATGTTCACTTTATCCACCTCCCCATTTCAAGCAAATCTATCAGAGCAAGTAGTAGTCTCTCCCATCAGGTTTACTGTCGACTGTCTAATTCTTGTAATGCGTACTGCTTTATATACAAAACAATGCGTCAATTGTTGAATTTGATTTAGGGAGATGGAAGTAAAGAGCAACTTCCACAAGTGAAAGCTGGCAGTTGGACAAAATCATTGTTGAAATTCGCGTCCAATAATTTTCTTCCATTAGGCAAGTTTATGAGCCAGGTTTTATGCTTGTAATTAAGTTTGCCTGGTGCGAATATGGTAATGCTTATGAGTTTCCCTTCTCTGAAATGAAACTTGCTAATTGCACACCTCTAGTTCTTATGATGCTTTTACCTGTAACAGATAATGACATCTTGCATGTGAGTCCAAGTTGTTTCAGTAATGCTCTTCTTAGTTGGCTGATCAAACAATTCTGTGTTTGATAACATTGCCATTTTTAGTTCAGCATTTACTATTTTGGGAAAAAAAATGATCTACTTACTTGACTTGTGGCTCAAAAAATGAGAAGCTAATATATCTGTTTTTCTTGTAAGTTGTAATTTGCAGCTCTTGTCGGTGGAGTAGCATTAGGACTTGCAAATCCTACGCCTGGTTGTATTGCTGATAGACTATATCTATCAAGGTTTAGCAGTTTTGGGATATTTGTAATATCAGGTACTTTGTGCTTGTTTATCACTTTTTATGTTCTTTTTACTAAGGGGAACTGGAGAGACCAGGATGAAAACCCCCAGCCCAGTGGGGTTGAATGCTCTGCTAGTCCCACTGGTCATTGCGGTATAAAACTTCAAAATATGTATTTCCTTATATTTTTTCCAAAACAGGATTGACACTGCGTTCTGATGAAATTGGTGCCGCTGCTGAAGCTTGGCAAGTTGGACTATTTGGGCTAGTATGACCCTGAATACTTATGAGCCATTTTTTGTTTTTGTAGGTTCATTTTTCTTAAATAATTTAATTTGTCTTTATTCTTTCATCTTGTATTTCTATCAGGGAACAGGATGTTAACTTGCCAAAATGGAAAAGAAACAATCTATTATATGCGGAGGAATTTGGAACTTAAATATTGCTTTTTTCTTTTGCTTCTTCTAGATAAATAATATTCATGTCACTACTTATCAATCCACTTATTTTGGATCTGTTCTCTTCTTATGTCACAGTTTTTAAGGTTCATATAGCAGATCAAATTCTGTTCAACATTTGTATTCCTATGGGATTGAACTCTTTTTTTTTTCCCAATGCAGGCTTCAATTTTGTTTTTCACTCCATTTTTTTCAAAGGTTATATTACTACTTAAGCTCCAACCACAGGAATTTGTTACAGGTTTGATAAGTTGCCTTGCTTTTTGGATTCTATTTTCCTTCCACACTATTTTGTTGTTATTCACAATCTGCTTCTTTACTTCTCTTGTATGTTGACAAAATCAAAGTTCTTCTCCTAAATCCTTAGTTATGTCGTGTAAAGTGAACTTGATTTTCTTGGTCTTTTGTGATCGTTTGTCCCTTATTCCCAGTTACCTATAGCTACAGTAGAAAAAGTAATGCTCTTGAATTGTTTTTCTTTTTCTCCCATTATTGAGTTTTTTTATTTAATTGGCGTGCTATAAGCATCTTAAATTAACTCCCTTTCTGTTTAACTGTTCTGTTATTTCTTTGGTAAAAATATGACTTCTTTTTTTTTTTTTTTTTTAGGACTGGCCATATTTTGCTGTATGCCAACAACATTATCAAGTGGAATAGCACTGACTCGGGTGTGTTGAATGTCATCGGTCTCCTTGTACAGTCTGCTTTTAGTTATTATACAGGATAATAAAGGAACCCAAAAAAATAAATAAATAAAGGAATAGAAAAATAAAAATATGTTTGCAAAATCTGACTTCAGGTTTATATTGCTAAATGCAGCTGGCTGGTGGGAATTCTGCCCTTGCTCTTGCAATGACAGTTATTTCAAATCTTTTAGGAATTTTAATTGTAAGTTTTATCATTGTGATCGTGGGATCCTGAAACAATTTTCCTTTATGTTTAAAGAGTAGTATCACCTTGAATTTTATTGGTATTGTCACTGATTTTCGAGGCATTTTCTAATTTTTTCTAACATTTAGCTACATTATGCCTTTTGAAGTTTATTCACTTAATAAGACATAGATAATTATCTTCTAGCTTCATATTTAATCAATTTTGATGTTTTCTCTTCCCCTCTTTCAGTATTCTCACTCATTGTGGCAGTATGACCAAAAAGCCACCATGGCACAAAACTATGTTGTATTCACAAGGGAAATGTAGTCAGTTCTACTTATGTCCGTTTGTCTTGTGGTTTTACATGGTTTCATTGGCATTTAAAAGAGGCTAACAGAAAATACACTAGAGTATATTTTAGCTATATAATTATTTATATTTTTTCCACTTGGCAACTTCACCCACTGGTACTGAGACTTGTCTTAAATGTTTAGTACAGGAAGTCATTTTAGTGATTTAAATCTGATTTTTGGCTGTGAAGGTTTTGTGTATCTCTAGTACTCTTTATCCACTTAATTTTTTTTTTTGAATCTTTGTTTGGTAGCGTGTCATCAGGAAACCAAATTTTTGTGTTAAACCTATGAAATTAAAGGGGAGCATGGGTTCCTTTTAATAGAAAAATAGTGCATAAAAAGCGCTTGTTGACATTGATCTCTAGATGAGCTATGCCAATCTCTTAACTACTGGAATGAGGTTCCATCATTTGATTAAAGTGACAAAAAGTTGAGACATCAGGTTTTTGTTGTTTCCTGTTTCAATGTAGAAACTGATACAAATCACTGCTTTTTATAAATTTCTTTTAGCAGTTTTCATGTTCTTGAGATTTTCAACATTTTCAGAGTCTCTCACTTTGTTATAATTTGCTCATTCTCCATATTTCTTAAATAAAAGCTATAATTTTATCGAAATTATGAATTTTCACATGCTGGGTAGGCTTTCACAAGAGCCATCACTTTGTGATGCATCTGAACCTTTTCATGTATGTTATGATTTCTTGTGGATAAACTATGTTGTATGCTTATGTTTTATCAGCTTAAAATTTACTGACTCTAACTTATTATATATCAGATTCCTTTTTCCATCTCAAAATTCATAGCTTCTGGAGTTGGTGTATCTGTTCCAACCGAGCAGTTGTTCAGAAGCCTGTTTCTCACACTTCTTGTTCCTCTCATTTTAGGAAAGGTAAATAAATCCTCAGATACTGCATGGATTCATGTTTAACAAGAGATTCCCGTGTGATACTATTTCTGTAGAAGTATTTTTCCTTCAATTTGGGATTGATACATTCTTCCTTTGGAGGAGTTGGACATGGATTTTACTTTGAAATATTAGTATAATTTTTTAGTTTGGTTTATCCACTGGAATCGATTATTTTCTGATATAAGGTTGAACATGAGAGATTTCAAGATCATGAAGGATTTTGCTATGCACTTATATTCTAACAGGTGTATTATGAAGCTCCTTTCGTATTATGTTTGTGAGATTCTGCTATCTATTTTGTTTGGAAACCACTTGTTTTTCCTTTCAGAGCAGACGGAGTATGTGATCTTGCTTTTGTGCTTCTATATGCCTGATGAATCGTCACAACTAGCTCGGTGGTAGGATTTTGATAAGGTCTTGAACAGCCACTTAATATTCATGCATGTTAAGAAAAACAGAATAATTTGAGGCTTACTTTGAGGGGAGGAGGTTGGAAGGGGTTGGGAGAGGAGAGAATATCTTTCCTCACAAATATTCAAGCCAGTGGGTTTGCTTGTGTGTGAGTTTATTTTCCCCTCTCCTCTTCTTTTGGGCTTTGGCTCTTGTGATTGTTAGATGCTAGCTACTGTTGAATTGTCAATTGTCAGAAATATACAAATGGCATCAAGTTACTTCAGAATTGATCCTTTTTTTGCATTTTTATAGTTTATTATGTAGGTCCTGCACTGGAATTTTTTAATGTGTGTGGTCTTAGTGATGCAGCTATTACTTTTTGGTGTTTAAATCTTTTTTCAGGAATGATTTATTGATTTTTCTCATTCAACAGGCCCTTCGAGAGTCATCTGAAGGTGAGTATTCTTGTAAAACTTCTTAAATACAAGCAAATCTTTTTTTTTTTGGGGTGTTTGGGGGGGGGGGGGGGAGGGGAAGGGGTGGACATAGTGGTGCTTCAGTAGAAAATGGAGTTTATGTTTGGCCTTGGCAAGCATGTTGTGCTTGAGTGGCACAAATGAATGGTGCCCTGGGTTTTATAGTTTTGAGCTTCTTTGAGAATCATAAGCGTTAAGAGTTTTGAGATTCTTTGAGAAGTATAAATTGAAGTTCAAAGGTGTTATCACCAGGCATTTTGTACCTTACACATCTTTTGTAAATATAAGGAAAACCAATTAATCTAGTTACAAAAACAATTGAGTTTCATTTGAGATGGAACACCATCAAAATTCTGCAGATTTTCCCTATCTTTACTTTAAGGAAAGGATGAATCCAACTCTTCCACCCAGACAAACCCAATTCTATTAGCCCATAAATATTTTAAAACAACAGTGCCTCCCCTCTCTGGATTTAATGTGGACAATCTGACACTGTATGAAGGTGGATAAATTTGTTATTTCTTGCTGTGGTCTGGCATAATATATCTTTCAGCATTTAGTAATGGCTGTGGGCTGTACTATAGGAATTGTGTAGTATAAATTGTGACATTGTACACTATCTAGACGTGTCTATTAGAATTTGAAAAAAAAAAAAATCCCTTTCGTGTCGATATTCCTACATGTGGCTGCCTGGCAAATTTCCTTGCTCTGGTTTTATAGTTGGAAAACTTGTTTCTCCATCAATAATGGAAATCAAATTATTAATGAGCTTCTAAGTTCCTGGTGTCTTTTACTCCCTCCTACCCATTGTTAATGTCATGTTTCCACTTTTTTGCTGTCCCAAAATAAGTCTCGTTGCAAAAGTCAAACAACTCTCAATGATACTTTCCTTTTATACCCTTCACTAATAATGACAAGTTTCCATCCATTAACAATAAACAATTGCATATGACCCAACATAACACATACACACTTTCACAAGGCCTGTGACTTTTTGTCTTTAGTTGGCTGGTTTTGGTATTCAAACACTGGTAAGACCAGAAGATTTTGAAAGGTGCAGCCCACAATTTTACTGTGCATAAAAAGTGCTGCCTCCCCAAAAATGTCCCAATTTTTGGGACAGAGGGAATACATTTGATTATATGTTATTTATAATGTTAAAAAACATTTTCTGGAAAAGGTAGGCATTTTCTTATACTGAGAGGTTTCACAATTAGTAATCTATTTCATTATGGTACAAAATGTTTTTGGCAGTGTAATTTCAACTAGATGTCATGACCTAAAGATAAAGCGGATTAGACTGGTCTCCAACATCAATGTACTTCATCTGGCACAAACTCCAGTTGACTCATCTAATGAAATTCATTGCCCGTCATGTACAGTAATGAATTCCATGCCATTGGTTTTTCACATCATCTGGAAGCTGACATTAGGGTGACTGCTTACTGGATTATGCTTCTTGTGATGTGTGAAGATAAATGTGCTTCAGTTGTATACTATATTCATCTGTTAATGAAGGTTTCTTTTGTCAATACTGCAGGTGCAGCAAATTTTGCTGATCAAAATCGTAAACTTTTGTCTGTGATGAGTGCAGTTTTGCTCAGTCTAGTAAGACCAGAATCAGTACTTACTTTTTGAATGAGTTGCTTCTGGGCTTGCATTAGGTAGCGCTAGTGTATAAAAAGCACGAATGTGCAATGTTTTCTATCTTGGAATATATTCTGTAGCTTATAAGGCCTGAATAGAATTTGAGCCTTGAGGTAATGGGGTGTGAAGATCAAGTTTGCTTCATTATTAAGTAATTGTTGCTCTTCAAAATAGGTGGGTGGAGTCCAGATTTTTTCTCATAATCGGTGTAGATTGTTTGCAGCTTTTACCATGAAGAAGGAAACTAGGGTCCCTTGCAGGCATTAGATGTTAATTGCTATGTCAATCATATTATTATTTTCTAGTAGATTTCTTTTTTGTCATAAGAGTGCCACTCTTAAAACATGGTCCTTCTCTTTTTAGCTAATTTGAATGGCTCATGGTCTGACTTTCATAGTTACATTGCATATTTCTTCAGCTTTTGCTGTGTGTCTGTAAAATTTGAGCCTTTCAATTTTTCTTAATCGTTTAGACTCATGACTGGGTTCCACTGTTTTTGAATTAATTGATATAATGGATAATGGTCAAGGCAAATTTCAGAATTAGGTGTGTTAAACTGAATTATGAAAGATGGCTTTGGTGGATTTTCTTTCTTTCAAGTAAAATGGCATTTTTTCTCTAATGTTTGCATTTTATGCAGGTCCCTTGGATACAAGTTAGCAGATCAAGAACACTACTTTTAATGGTCAAACCAGCAGTATTTTTTGTAGCTGTTTGGATGGGAGTGTATGATATTCCTTTTAAAATTTTTCTCATTTGTTTTTCTTCAGGTTGTTGGTGTTGACAGTTGATTTCTCATATATTGGTTAATTTTGGATGGTGGCAACAAATTTCTGCACATCACCGACCTTAGCTGTGATTCCCTAGGGACAAATTTCCTCATTATTCAGTTCATAATTGTCCGGTTATATTTATGATACTATGTGGCTTAATTAGTGCTAAGCTTGCCTCTAGTCTAAATTATGCCAATGAGATCAATTTCTAGCCAATTAGATTGGTTTTAAGGACCTTTTAATGGTAATACTTAAGAGGAACATGTAGCTCACTGGGCTTTGATTACGAATTACCTATTGAGGTGACCGAACTTCTATATTGTAGGCTTCTGCATGCTCTCCTGCTAGTGTTTAATGGTCTTGCTATCCATATCCTCTCAACAATTTGTGGTGGCAGCAAGTCAGCTTTTGCAAAGAAAGAAAATACCTCTGCTCTTCTACTCGTTGCAAGCCAGGTGACACGCTTGACTAATGCTGCATATTTACTCTTAGGTCAAGCATTACACTAGCAGAGCTAAAGATGTAGAAAATTCGATGGCAGTACAATTCTTCTGGGGTGGCGGCTGCAACTGTGGACACAATGTGCATAGAATACATGTTAGTACAGTTGATTCAATTTCACCCTGTTGTGTGGGTTTGCAGAAAACCTTGCCTGTGATGGTAGCCGTTATAGAGCAGCTCGGTGGTGCTTTTGGCGAATCCGGTTTGCTGGTTCTGCCCTGTGTTGCAGCCCACCTGAACCAGGTCATACACGTGGCTTTTTCTTGTGTATATATGTCATATATGTATATTATTGTTTTTATGCCTATGTCGCCTGAGATGAAGCATTATCCATGTGTAGATTGTTTTCGACTCCTTTTTAGTGAGTTTCTGGCTTCAAAAAGTGCACGCGTTTGACTCTGCCAAGGCTGCCTGAGAACGTAATAAAGAAAAAGAATTAAGGGTGTAATCCAAGCTGCTGACATACAAAAGAGCATCACATTAATTGTCACAGATGCGTACAAAGGACCCAGATTTTGTGTTGAGCAAGAAAAACTCCCATTCTTCTCCGGCCACAGCATTGCGGTGTAATCTGATTTATTGGCACCTATCCCTGGGATGGCCTTAACTTGTCAATGCAGAAATTACAGTCTGATGTAACTATAAATTGATCTTTGTAGTTATACCTGGCAATTGGGCGGGTTGGATGGCTTTTGGGTGGATTGATATTGGGTTTTCATTTAAATGGGTGACACTCAATCCGTCCAACTTTAGATTGAGTTAAATTTGGGTTGGATTATATTGGGTTATCTCAAATTCATGATCCAAATATGATCTAATATAGTAATTAATAAATTTTGATACATAAACCCTCTCAAATATATTTTCATATACAAAAAAAAAAAAAAAAAAATTCACATACATAAACACATTTTCACATAGATAGACATATTTTTACACATTAAAACACTCATAGACACACATACTCATTTCTTAAATTCTTTTGAAATATGTTATTTTTACACATGCAAACACATTACAATACACACTAATATACTTTTACAAATGTACACTAACTATTTAAACTACTTGGATGATTCACTATTTTTTATACAAGTAAGGATTTCAAATTGGGTATAGCTTTGGTACAAACTAAGAGACGGAAGCAACAATTTTGGTTCCAGTTAAATATAGCGTGAAAAATGGCATACCAATGTATAATTTTCTAATTCTTGTTACTTGATTTAGCATTAGCTATTCCGGACATATTTCTAAGAAATCTGCCAAATTCATGAACTATTAGCAATTCCGGACAAATTAGCCAAATGAAGCCAACCGACCATGTAATGAATTTGGACCGTAACAGCTTTTGGAGTTCTGTAAGTGTCTGGAATAGCTAATTAGGCAGATTTTGGACAACTTGGCCAGTGGATGTTTTGCTTGATCCAACAAGGCTGGTCATTTTTTTTTATGTTTCTTGATTTTAATTTGTTAATTTGTTTTTTTAATTTATGTTAGATAATGGGTGCCTGACACAAATACCCAAACCGTTCAATATATATATGGGTCTTTATTATCCAACTCAAAATTAATCCAAAATTCAACTTATCCATTTCAACCTCTCAATTTTGTGGATGGGTTGTTGGGTTTTAGATATAACTGTCAGCTCTATTTGTAGTTATTAATTTATTTTTTTTCATTGTACTAGTTAAGAAGTTATTCAACTAATAAAGAAGAGGAGGCACTTGTATCGATTATTTTTAAGAAAAATTATATCTCACCCTCGTCAAATCGAATTAAATGCAGTTGGCTTCCCGATGAATTATCTCCACATATTAAGGCACAATAAATTTTTGGAAATATATTATTTGTGCTTCCATTTTTGTTAATCAAACTCTCATTATTAATAATCTATTCATATAGTTTTCATTTATTAAATTATATGCTAAAACAAATTATGGAAATATAAATAATAAAAAATGGAATATGAATAACATTTGCCTAAATTTCATCTACCCAAAACCCTTAAAAAAGGAAAATACGAAACTTGACGTAATCATCTACCGCTGTAGGTGAGGAAAAAGGGTGAAGGTGACATCACACAATCGAATTACTTTTACCACAAAGGCGAAGGCGGGCGGGGGTGGAACTTTTTCGTCGACACGTTTTTCATCAATCCATTCATACGTCCGGCCTCGTACAAAGGAAAATATATGGCAGGCAAAGAGTCCAAATTAATAACTCATTCAAAAAAGGGGGAAACTCATCACAACCACCAAGCACCAACCACCACCAACCACTGTCACTGTCAATTTTGCGAAATGTGAAATTCGAGAGAAAGCCGTGGACGGACAAACAAGAAAGAAAAAGAGGTCGGTGGTGGCTACAGGTCTTCCACTTCGCTAATAGGAGGAATTTTTTTTCTTCCAAACTTAATATTTTAATATAATTATCACTCGTTTCTCCCAAGTCCTAACTATGAATCTAAGCTGTTCAAGGTTCAAACCAACTCCAACTATAAGAAGTTTAATCACATTAATTATTGCATGCTCAATAATTTACTAATCAAATGTGAGCCACACACATTAACACAATAATCACACGCACAATTTTTTTTTATAAATGATTTTTAATTTGGTGTCAGACACTAACATTACACTTGATTTATCATAAGAGCAATAGCAGCGCGGGTGTAATGGAGGGCCATTAGAGATCTATGATTAAATATAAAATAATTCTAACCACCAATAATTACATCCAATTTTTGTTTCAATGGTAAATTTGCCAGCACACAACGCATTTTAGCTTTCCAACGGTTATATCCAACGATTAGATTTTAGCCTTCTATATAAACACACAACACTTTTTTTAAAACATATTCCACTAAATTTAATGTAAAAAAATTAATGAAAGTTAGTACTTTATTTTTTAAAAATAACAAAATTATTTTTAAAAATTACTTTATTTATTTATGAGATATGAATTATGCATTATTAAAATAAATGTTTGATTTAATTGTAGACCCATGCTATTACACCTTATGGAGTGTAATTCATTGTGAGTGAAAATATAATAAAAGAGGAGAAAGTGAAATACTGACGTGGCATGTGAATTATACTCCATAAGATGTAATAGCATTGTAGATGCTCTAAGAACAAATCCGTTTACAGATCGATTCACTCCCTACACTTAGATACTGTTTTAAATTAATTTCACTCTTGTTAAAAAATTTAACACTTAAAAAACTCCTCTCAACGAATGACTGCCTTCAAAGTACCCGTCAGTTAAACCCAAAAAAGATAGTAGAATATAGGGATAATTTCAGAAACCTCCCCTGAGGTTTCTGACATTTACACTTACCTCCCTTGTAGTTTGAACAATTACACTGACCTCCCCTGAGGTTACTAATTCTTTACAAATTCAGTCCAAATGATTAAAATATTATTTTAGAGAGTGAAATTAGAATTTTGTACCTGATTTATCCTTTGTGTCACATGTCCAATGAATGGCAAAATATTACAAATTAATTAACAATTGATAAACTTTAACGAGCGTAGTTTATAGGCAAATACGTATTGTCTATTTAAAGTACCAGCTCTTTACATGTATTTTACTTTCAAACATTTACTTTATCACAAATAATTATTCTCAAATACAGATTTGTATTTACTCTCAAATATTTAATTTTTTTTAAATACAAAACCTACCAGTTTTTCTTCCGTAGAAATATGAATATAACATTTTTTCAATTTTAGTCACAAATATTTATGTATTTAACATAAATTAAATGATTTAGAATAAAATACTCATAAAGAGCTAATACCTTACTCGTGTAATGGATGAAAGCCATAAAAAATTAACATTTTATAGGTCATTTCCTTTTTTTTAAATTTTAATTTATATTAAATAGATAACCTATCGATTTTCTTTTTGCAAGAATATTATTGTAACACATTTTAATTTTTAATTACAAATATTGATATATTTATTATAAATTAAATATTTAAAAATAAAATACCTGTAAAGAGTTGGTACTTTAAATAAGTTATGCGTATTTGCCTATAAACTACGCTCCTTACTTAAATCAATAAACTACATTCCTTAACTTAAATCAATAAACTATACTCCTTACTTTAAATAGTGTAGTTTATAGGCAAATACGCATATCCTATTTAAAGTATCGGTTCTTTACAAATATTTTATTTTCAAATATTTAATTTATAATAAATATATTAACATTTGTAATTAAAAATTTAAAAAGTGTTACAGTAATATTCTTGTAAAAAAAAATCAGTAGGTTATCTATTTAATATAAATTAAATATTTTTTAAAAAATAAATGGCCTCATAAAATATTAATTTTTTATGGTTTCCTCCGTTACATGAGTAAAGTATTGGCTCTTTATGAATATTTTATCCTGAATCATTTAATTTATGTTAAATACATAAATATTTATAACTAAAATTGAAAATGTGTTATATTCATATTTCTACGGAAGAAAAACTGGTAGGTTTTGTGTTTAACAAAAATTAAATATTTGAGAGTAAATACAAATCTGTATTTGAGAATAAATATTTGTAATAAAGTAAATATTTGAAAGTAAAATACCCGTAAAGAGTTGATACTTTAAATAAGTAATACGTATTTGCCTATAAACTACGCTCCTTAAAGTTTATTAATTGTTAATTAATTTATAATACTTTATCATTCATTGGACATGTAACACAAAGCACAAATCAGGTACAAAATTCTAATTTCAATCTCTAAAATAATATTTTAATTATTTGGACTGAATTTGTAAAGGATTAGTAACCTCAGGGGAGGTCAGTGTAATTGTTTAAACCACAGGGGAGGTAAGTGTAAATGTCAGAAACCTCAGGGGAGGTTTCTGAAATTATCCCTAGAATATAAGCACGAGCGCTCTGTAGGGAAAAAGGTCACCTCGCTCCCACCTTGTATCTTGTACCCTGCCTACGAGGATCCTATGAAATAGGAACATACGTAGTCGTCATTGTCTCGAGGTCCACAGCCTTTCTTCCATTGTTTCAGGTTTGCAGCGCAGAAGAAAGAAAACCGCATATCATATCATTCCGGACAGATTTATAGTTGGGCTTCTCTGATTCGTTTCAGGTTTTCTTTCTCTTCCCTAGTAGCAGAGTGTTTACACGTTGCACTGCACCGACATTATGTTACTTTTGTTTTGGCTACTGAATCAGAAGTTCATACACCGCCATTCTTAATTTGAAATGGGAAACTTTCTTATGATTCTTTTTAAAAAAAAAAAAAAAAATTATTGTAAGATTTGTAAACTTCTTCGATTACATATTCAAATTTGCCCAAGAATGTTGAGCACCAAGTAGAACTATGTGGAAGATTCTTCCTGGGATGGCTAAACCCACAAATAGCGTAGCCGTAGTAGCTGGCGGAAACCAATACCTTCATGGCTACTGAATCAGAAGTTCAGCCTAATTTCCACCACAGAAGATAGAACCACTGCAAACTTAATAAAAAAAAAAGAATCCCAAATCGTCGAGACCTTTTCAATGATCACCCGTTATCTCTTGCCACTGCCCAAACTAAAATCTCCAGGAGTAGCTTATCACGTCGGATCTTGTCCACCATTTCTTCATCAGCTAAGCTACCATCATCGACGACCAGCCAAGCTACGGCCCAGCTTCTGGGCTCCTCCTCCTCTTCCTCGCAGTCGTCCCTGTGGACTGGCGATTGCCTCCTCCGACTTTTGCCAAGTTTTTGGCCCAGGAGACGCCGTTGGAATGACCCAATCCGTAGCCTCCCCACCAACAACACGGTTGGGGTCCAATCTCATGACCCATGGGGTCAAACCCCCACCCTTGACATCAGCTTGTACGTATGCATCAGTATACCAATCGTCAGGTCTTTTAGTACTACTGTTTTTCTTTAATTGTTTTCATAAAAAGTACTACTACTGCTTTTCTTTAATTGGTTTTAGTTTTTTTTATTTGAGTTGTTTCTATGAATTTTGACTTGGGTGTTAATACTTAGTACGTAGCATAATAATTGACTAAAATAAAAAATTAAATGGGGAAATTTGAGATAAGTAACAGTAAAATAAAATGGAGAAATTTGTGGTAAATAATTAACTGTAGTGATGCTAAACAATTTTTTTTTTTTTAAAAAGGTCACGGGAAAATAATTGAATAGTCTAGTATTGGCCAGATGACAGCTGATAAACAGAAGGGGAAATTTGTTCAAATTAGACTTTTTAATGTGATATCCAGCCTATATCCAAAGGTTCATGCAGTGCACACGTGTATTGTAAAACTTGTGCAGATTTGTTCCCATACCTTCACATCCAGTCTCCCTTAATTTATGCATATGGATCAATGACCTTTTGTGGATTATGAATTAGCATTTGCAAGCCACTCCCAGCTCCCAAAATTATGGACATTATGTACTTGTCAGTTTCTGTCATGACAAAATTATTGTGATGTATGGTTTGTAGTGCTTGAACCAATGAATGTTCATAGCAGAAAGATGTCACTGTGTTGTTGTGGCGATCATAGATTGAATCATGTCACAGTGGCAACTTTTACTTCTATCCGTCTACAGCAACAGTGAATCTAATAGTTTTCTTGGTGAAATGAAACTAATCTTTTACAATTATAGGTTGGAGAAAACACACTCATTTTACTGATAGTTTTCTTGGTGAAATGAAACTAATATCCGTCTACAGCATCCTGAAGATTGTTTCTCAAGTTTCTTTTGGGGGAAACTAGTTATTTCTTCTCATACTCTAGCTTTTTCTGTTCAAGGAGCTAAATATGAACCTTTGTTTTCAGTGATGATTAAAACAATTATACCATTGTTGTTTGTCGGATTTCTAGCATGGATACTTCAGTCCATCCGGCCTCCACCTCCTCGCATCTGTGGCTCCCCCGGAGGTCCACCAATCACAGGACCTAGAATTAAACTTAGGGATGGGAGACATTTGGCTTATAAGGAGCATGGTGTTTCCAAAGAATTGGCGAGGTACAAGGTTGTATTGGTTCATGGCTTTGGGTCTAGCAGGCATGAGGCAGAAATTGCGACAGCGGTAATTTGTTACTTCACATTGAATACGCAAGCCATTCTGCCAGAACTGGTTTCAAAAGAATTTCACTTTATTTTCAGGAGGCAGTTCAAGAACTTGGGATCTACTTTGTATCTTTTGATAGACCGGGTTATGGAGAAAGTGATCCTGATCCAAAGCGATCTTTTAGAAGTCTAGCACTAGATATAGAGGAGCTTGCTGATCAATTGGAACTCGGATCCAAATTTTTTGTCATTGGGTTTTCCATGGGTGGACAAGTGGCTTGGGGTTGCCTCAAGTACATCTCTCACCGGTATGATTTGTAGTCCCAACATTTACTCCAATTTAGAATAGCAATTTGTTTATTTTAAATTAAAATTTTCCACAACTTCTGGAGGGTGTTCAACTAAAGTTTCACTACGCAACAAAAGGTAACTTAAGGAGAAGTATGCAAGGTCATACTTTTAATTTGATGGAAGAAGTTTTCTTCAATGACTATCCAATGATGGATGGACGTGATGCTGGCTAGATGGTACAGAGCTAAGCTTGCCTGGCTACAGGTTATCTAACTTTGAGTCTCATACTTTGTCAATCTTCTCTTCTTTGGGAAGATGATTCTAACTTAAGCAGTATGCGAAGAAAATGCCTGGCTAATAGTAGTGTTCTTCTATTAAGTAAACTGTAGTTTTCTGAATTGCAGTGGACATCAAAATGAAAGATGTTAAAGACGTTATCTTCACAGAGCAATCAAAGATGTTGTCCTTTTCTAAGAGATCTAAAATCCATGGAAATATAAAGCCACCTTGATTTTTATGTCTATTGTTGTTAGATTATGAAACCAAACAGAAACTTCAACTAGATGCGAGATGCAGTGATGTCTCACACCTAAGCTCTTTCCCCTGTTATTTGTATGTAGTCTCAACACTTCAATTTGTTAAATTCTTGCTGTGTAATTTTGATCTTTTAGTGTCCTGATTGTTTTCTACATGAGTTTGCAATAACCGTATGGTTCAATCTTTCGGATGCTGATAGGTTAGCTGGAGCAGCATTGGTTTGTCCAGTGATCAATTACTGGTGGCCTGGCTTCCCGTCAAATTTATCAACTGAAGCATACTATCAACAGTTACCACAGGATCAATGGGCTCTTCGAGTTGCCCATTACACCCCATGGCTCACCTACTGGTGGAACACGCAGAAATTGTTTCCATCCTCCAGTGTCATATCCGGAAGGCCCAAGCTTTCTCGCCGAGACTTGGAAATTATATCCAAGCTTGCAGATAGACAATCTCAAACGGTACTTGGAACTTCTCATACCATGGTTTTTTTTTTTTTTTTGGAGTTATAGATGGTTGATTTGGACTCAAATGATTTGTTCTGTTTACAGGAATACGTAACACAACAAGGAGAATTTGAATCCTTCCATAGGGACATGATAGTTGGATTTGGCAAGGTTGAATTTGATCCTATGGATCTTAAGAACCCTTTTGCTGACGGCGAAGGCTCAGTTCACTTGTGGCACGGTGACGAAGATGGCCTCGTGCCCGTTGCATTGCAGCGTTACATTGCTGAAAAGCTTCCGTGGATTCGCTACCATGAGATACCAAACGCCGGGCATTTGCTTGTGCTTGACAATAAAGAGGCCATCCTAAAAGAGCTTTTCACTGTCTGATGTAAACATCAATTCGTCCTGGTTACATTTAATCCTCCATTCTTTGGGACTACCAATGCTTTTTGCAAGTTTGTCCCAGTCCTGCATGTTGCTGCAACACTCACTAGTCTATTGGTATTATAAAACTCTTTTTTGTCTGTCAAGTGAAATTGTCTAGCAAATCGGTAAATTCCATCCTCGGAAAATTATTGACCGGAGAGGAACGAGTCTTCACGTTACTACGCTGCATTCAAGAACTACAATTCCTTTACACATTTTGGTTTTGGAATGATGAAGCAAATTCGGATTTTATTATTATATGGAGTTCATTTGCAAACTAAGGGCTTGTTTGGCAACCTAGTTTTTTACCAAGTTTTTTAGCTAATAGTTTTTTAACAACTTTTGCTACAGGAACCCCAAAAAACTTTTCAAAGTTTTTTACCTACACACTTCAAAAATTATACACAAAAAATTTCTCAAAAAATTTTCTTCCTCCCTCACCCAACCCACCACACCAGACACCGCCTCCACCACCTCTCCTCGAGCCGATCACCTATTCCGGCGCCGCCGGCAACCTCAAAAATTTTTTTTGAATTTTTGAGTCCCTCACCCTCAAAAATTTATTATATATATTATATATTTATAATATTATATATTTATATATTTATTTAAACATATTATAAATATTTTATTTTATTTAAAATATATTTTTATACATTTATATAAATATTATATACCATATAAATTAATATTAATATAAATATGTAATTATACATTTATATAAATATTATATATTATATATTTAATATATATAATACATATTATATATATTACACATTTATGTATATATATTTATGTATATTTATATACAATTATATTATGTATTATGTATAACATAATACATTTATACATAATATTAACACACAATATTAATTATACATTTATACATAATACTAATATATTTATACATTTATATTAATTATATTAATACATTTATACATAATATTATATATTTATACATTTATAACATATTAATTTATATATTTATATAATATTCATTTATAATAATATACAATTATTACATTTGTAAATATATTTATATTATGTATTATATATAATATAATACATTTATATATTTTTATACAACTATATAAATATATTTATTTATAAATGTATTATAAATGCATAAATATATATAAATATTTAAACAATAAAAATTATAACTTATAAACAATATTAATTATACATTTATACATAATATTAATACATTTATACATTTATATTAATTATATTAATACAGTTATACATAATCATCATATACATTTAAAAATTATAATTTATACATTTATATAATATTCATTTATAATATATACATTTATATTAATTATACATTTATACATTTATAAATATATGTATATTATGTATTATATATAATATAATACATTTATATATTTTTATATAAATATATAAATATATTTATTTATAAATATTTATAAATGCATAAATGCATATAAATATTTAAACAATAAAAATTATAAATTATAAACAATATTAATTATACATTTATACATAATATTAATACATTTATACATTTATATTAATTATATTAATACATTTATACATAATCATCATATACATTTATAAATTATAAATTATACATTTATATAATATTCATTTATAATTTATCCATTTATATTAATTATACATTTATACATTTATATTTATTTCTAAATATTTATAAATGCATAAATGTTTAAGAATATAAAAGTATAAAAATTATAAATTATAAAATACTCAAAAATATGTTTTAAAAATACCTCTAAAAATAATCCAAAAAACGTCTACAGTAACATTTCAAAAACTTCTACAAAAAAGTTTTTCACCTTACAAAAACTTCTACAAAATTTTTTCAAAAACTTCTACAGTGCACTACAGTAAAATTTTAGACAAACTCCCAAAAAACTCAGGTTCCAAACAGGCCCTAAGTTAGTGACTCAATCTGTTTGGTATAGGTTGAGAAAGTCTCCAAATCCAAAATATTACATTGAAGACGCTAGAGAGAATTTCCCAATCCGAAATACTACAGTATTATATTGAAGACACTAGAGACAATTCCTTGAATTATTTTCACTGCAAGCGAGGTTCGAATCTCCGACCTACAGCCAAAAAGGAACCGGTGACCAGTGGTTATAAGAAGAAGATGGATGCAGAGTTCGATATTTAACCACCAGTACGATAAAGTAGGATGCAGAGTCCGATATTGTTCCAAAACCGGAGTGACTATTACTTGCGCACAGATTATCCCTATAAAGTATTATCTCGTTGGGAAAAAAAAAAAGAATTAAACTGACTTGGTCCCGCCTCCGCCAACTGATTGCTGAGGGCCTCAAGGCACGAAAGACTTCGTAACCACCAATATCAAAGTCGCCAACACAAGTTTGGTCGGTTGACAAGAACGGATCATTTTCTTGTAAAAGATCGCGTTCAAATTCTATTGTTGATGTGAGTGTCATTTCCTCAAATATTATTGATAGCTGTTGTAGATGAAAAGATTCTAGTAGTCTTCTCACTGAATAAATTGCGGCATGCAAATTAAAGTTTCAACAACAATGTTCACCAAATGATTTGAGCAATTTGTGTATCATCAATGTAAGCTTCCGGCGAAAAGCAAAATTAAGCCAACGTGGGATTGTGCCCCCAGATTGCATCGATTTAATGCAAATTCACTGCTGAAAAAAGAATACGGAAACATGAAGCTGTTGAATCTAATCAAGATCCCAAGTCTTTCTTAATAATTAAGAAGAGCCACAACACAGATTTTACATATCATGTAATCTGGAGAAAATAACCCTGCCAGAGCACTTACTTGACGGATAGCTTAAGACGAGCACCTCCAGAGTTCCATTCATTCAACGTTATTGTTATTGAGGTACAAAGAAATGACTCAAAAAGATCACAAAATTCTTATTTGTTATCTTGCTGGAAAATCCCAAGTACATGAATATTGACTGACAACAAGGAAATTCTAAATTACAGCTACAATTCGAAAAATGGCTCCAACTTGGGAAGTTCATACGCAGTGAAGGACCGTCTTTGCCGTGAAGGACCGTCATAATTGCAATCCTTCAAGCTCAGATACTCGAAAGTTAGCCCGAGCTAGAAAAGCAACACCTTTACTTGGGCAAGCCAGTTTCAGGGTTTAGGAGAGCTTGACTTTCCTCTGTAAGCAAAACTGGACCTCTACCGGGTCTTGTACAAATGAAGTAGCTTACATCTCCTTTGAATTTTTGGGTGGGAACGTTATCCTTGATTTCTGGAGGTGGAGGCAATGCTTCCACATCTTTCAGGTCTTGAATGCCAGCATCCATTAGAACTGATTTATCGCCAACAATATAGCTGCACAAAATAGGACAAGCAAGAGAACATATTAGGGAGCTCATTATGGAAAATGTATTGGGACTAGAAATACAAATCAAATCTTGAGTTGATGAATGTTATTCACGGTTAGAAAGGTCGTGTAAGATTCCATTTTTAAATACTTACAACTTCAAAATAAAAAACAAGCAAAAAAGATTACCTGTTTAGATCTGCATCGGACTGTGGTGGGAAATGAAAGAGCAGTCTTTGAAGCAGAAGGGCTGCAACTTTCCTGTTGCGAGCTATTAGAACTGCATTTGGACCCGCATCAAAAGTATAAGCCACCTGTCAAATTTCATCAAACTTGTCATATCCAATCATTCGAACTAACCAATATGAACAGTATTCGCACAGGTTCAGAAACCACATATTCAAATCTAGATGTTTACCAATCCAAATATTGTAGCCTCTAAAACAAGATAATACTTACTTGTATGAGCTAAACCAACCTGTTCAGTAATTCTTTTGTACTAAAATCCCTGTTACATCCCATTTGTATCATCTTATAAAGGTCATATTACCTATTCAACCAATTTCTCTGCATGTGAGCTTCCTAAATACACATGGGCCTAGCAAAGAGCATATATACACACACAAACATATATAAATCATACTGTATCGTATTCTGAGTGTGTGTTTTTTTGTTTTTGTGTGTGTGTGTGTGTGTGTGTGAGAGAGAGAGAGAGAGAGAGAGAGAGAGGAGATATGACGTAAAACAATTCTCTGCCACTGTAGTTAATATATCATCAGTTTTGCTTGTTTATGTGCCCTTTCAACAGGCCTTATCTGAATCTATGTTCATATTGCAGATCTTTATAAACAAGAAAACAGAATTTTACAAAGAGCTTTAACTTACTAAAAGATTCCAAATAATATATATTTGGATCAATAAGGGTGGTAATCACAATAAATATAGGAATAATCCGTTTCTGAAGCTGATTTGCAATCCTTACACATTACAGATTTTAGAAAATTCTACCTGAGGTGTTCCCTCAGAGCGATTCCATTTCTCAACACAGCTGATTATCCTGCAAAGTTGCAAACCGGTACTATTTAAAACTAAAACTTTGAGAGTGCAGCTTTGAAACCACAAAGGTTGACAATGTGCCATGAAAAGGAAAGAAACTCTTGACAAATTGCTTGCCTATGAGATGTGTCATTCATGTAGAATATAGGGGGACTTGTATCCAGACAGACGGCATGGAACTGATTACTGTCTGAACAAGTCAGACGAGCAAATGCTGGAAAATTACGACTTTTTATGGCTTCTTCCATCTCAACTACACGTTTAGGCACTACTTCCTGTCATAATAATTGTATCCAGGAATTAGAAATTCAAAAATTTGTGTAACTTCATATCATGAAGAGTCTGATAATACAAAACTACACACACACACAAACCTTAAACATAACAGCTAAAGACTCATAAACAAGCTTAATGAAGTAACTGAAGACTCATTATTTAAAATAGAAAGAAAAAAAAAAAAGAGGACCAGGTGATACCTTTGCTCTGTGCAGTACAAGAGGACTTGTTTCAACTGTCTCACGCATTCCACTGGTGCTACTAGTTTCCTTCTGCCGCGAACTTACCTGAATTCACGGGAGCAATTTGAGTGACTAGTACATAAAGGATGCTGAAGAGATTAATAATGAGAAAGTATAAAACAAAGGATGAGGGAGTTCTTTTTTTTTTTTTTAATCAACGAAATTGATGATGAAGCATGTCGTGATGTGCTTTTAGAAATAGTAGCAG